CCCCCCCCCCCCCCCCCACAAATTCTACTGCTTCAAAACTAAAGATGGTATACAGTATTATCATTATAAAATACATTCTGATATTTTAACTACAAGAAATTATGGATATCAGGTGAAGTATAATATCTAGCATATATCTGCAGAATACTCCGTGCTAATATCTCCCCAGTCCCCACCCATATGTTGAGCAATTTCCCTCCTTTGTACCAAATAAGGGTTAAATGATGGAAGTTGGCAAGTTGTGATGGTCTAAAGTTGGCATACTTTTGAAAAAATGTGTTTTAACTTTATTTGACAAATATGTGTCATAGATGCTGGAATTAGTTTTTGTGTTATCTATTTATCTCTGGTTTTCAGAGTACATATTTACATTTTTGTCTATCACTTCTGAAGGTGTTGTTGTTGAGGCTAAAGCTCATTTGGTTGGGATCCATGAGAGGGTCAGAAGTGATGTAGAGGGTAGCATACCCAAGAAGCCCAATGGGCAAAGGAATCTTTCTTCAGCTTCTGCACAAGGAGGCAATTCTTCCTTGAGAAACCCAACTGCAGAACTTGCATCATCACTTCTGAGGTACTTCATCTTCCACTAGTTTGTGTCCTCCTAAGCTCTAGGCTATTTGTAACACGGAAATTCATTTTGCCTTGAAAAATAAAAACAGTGTTCAAATTCCATTATAAATTTTTTAAATTATACACATATATAGATTTCGTAGTCTTTATACAATAGAAATTAATAAATAAAATGATTTTTTAATGCATATCTAACATTGGTTTTGAACCATTTTTTAAGCTTTCCCCATTTTATCTTTTCATCTAAATGTCCCCTCTATTTTTCTCCATGTTTTCTACTCAGTATTTTGTTTCAACTTTCAAATGGTACATAATGGTGTCTAAACGATTGTATGCTTTCTATTTCAGTGCCTAAATATTTTTAGCAATTTATATTCCATTCATGCTCCTTGTAGGGTATACTCTGTAATATTTATAACTAGACTGATATGTAAGATTATACTCCGTAATTGTAAATTAGTCATTGCCTCCCCACCCCTACTCTTTTCAACAAAACACAATATCATTCCTGTCTTTCCCCTTGTATTGATTGTCCTTCCTTTCCTTTCCCTCCATTAAACATTTAAGCCAAATGTTGTCTTAAGCTCTTGCTTTTCTTTTTTTTCTAGGGACACAAATACTGAGGCAGATAAGAAAAAAGGATCAACCATCAAAGACAAGGAGAAGGTGAAGAGGATGAGGGGTCAATCCTCCCATGCTTCGTGGAAGAGCGAGACGGAGATGATCTTGCGCCAGCATTTCGATTAGGTGTTGCAGCTTTATGTTAGTTTATTTATGTGTTGCACCAATTTTTCAAATAAGTGTCGCTTTCCGTTCCCATTTGAATCGTCCCTCACCCAAATCCTTTGTTAAGTTCAGAAAAGCTGGCGGGCAACATAGTTTTCTTGGCCAAACTGAATTTCAGCATGAAGCGAGAAGATGGGAGATTTACTACATTGTACAGAATCATGTTTGTGAACTGTCACAGCATTCTATGTTTCTTCACTTGGGTAGTTTTTATGATGTTTGCAATGAGGATTATTTTCTTACATTGAAGGCATAGAAGTGTTTGTAACTTGTAACCAACTGATAAACTATTTCCATTATTGATTATTGATACTTCCTTTTGGCCCACAAAAGTTTTTCAAACCTTTACCCATCCCTCCCAAAAAGATGCCTTCCAACATAGATGATGTATGGGTAAGAACTTACTTCATGTGGTTCTTTTTCTTTCTTTCTTTTTTCCCCCAAATTTTGAATGATACAATTTAAAATCTGGATGAGTTATCTATGACAAGTGAAATTAGTGAATTATGTTTGAATAGTTAAAAATTTAAGTAAATTTCATAAATGATTCCTAATTACAGATGATTTTCCATTTTTGTATCTAATTCTTAGATAGTTCATAAAAATTATCCAAAATTTCTGAACTATTCCATAATCGGTCCTTCACGAACTCTTTTTAGAAAAAATATTATCTCATATTTGGCCTAAATGACTAATTATGAAATAGTTTTCCAGAATTGAGGACCATTTATAGAATATTTAAGAATTAAAGACTGAATATGAAAGTTTTGGTTGTTCACTTGGTACAATCACCAACTTGGTGTGCAAATATATTTATTGTTTAGAAATTTACCTAAATACACAAAATGATTAAAATATGTACCCTATACAAAAATAGGTCTTTAATTTTTTTTAGAGTAAATTTTATAATTGGTCCTTTATAACAAGGAGGTTTCCTTATTTAGTCCTCTATTATCAAATGTCATTCCAGTAGTTCTTTTTTTATGGGTATCTTTCCACAAGTAGTCCTTTTCTTGATCTTCTATCATGTTGGTGTTAATTTGAGGGCTAAAAGTGTAATTTCACAATGATAATATATCTTTTTTGTCATACATAATTCCAAAGGCTGTTCGGTTTGCGTCGTTTGTGAATTACAGTCGCTTTCTACTACAACCATAGTCTACAAATATGGTCTTTCGTCAGAATTCTAGCCCACAATCATAGTCATTATTTTGGTGTTATCCGCTTAACCAATATCAGAACAAGTCACTAGACATAATGTTGATGTCAAATTATACTTTTAGCCTTTAAATTAACACCAATATGGCAGAAGATCAAAAAAAGGACCATTTGTGGAAAGGTACCCTTAAAAAAGGACTACGATGGTAATATTTGATAATAAATGACTAAATATGGAAACCCCCCCTGTTATAAAAGACCAATTATGAAATTTACTCTTTTTTTATCTATAAGTTACCACGAAACATTGACAATTTGAGATTTTGTAGCGACATTTTTGTATAAAAACATTGAATATCTTATTTTAGTACAAAGGATTTAATACATGTTTTAGTACTAGTTCTGTATTCATTATGAAGTATTTTATTATTTGGGAACGGGATGTGTCAAATACTTATACTCCATATTCGACAAGGGTTGGCAGTGGTTGGTTTCAGTTAAAACATCTTTAGTGACAGGTTCCTATGAAGTTACTTCACCTAGAAAGGTGATGTAGAGCTTATTTGGAACATATGTAGAGCATGAGTTGCTTCATTTTTCAAATGAATTACTTAGTAAAGCAATCGTATTTTAGCGACAAACTCCCCGTAAGAAAAATTTACCACTAACAATGCTCTTAGACAACAAAGACTGAACCGACAATCTGATAAATATAAACCAACTATAAAACAAAAAAACATGTGAAAGACCAAACACAAATTTTCAACTCATCATTCCATTAATTTTTATGTTAGAAGGGTAACAGTAATCCAAAACGTGTTATAACTTGAAAATTGGGATTATTTACATAACATTGAAAAGTTAAATTATTTTCAAAAGACGTCGAAACAAAGTGAGTTTATTCACATTTAAAGCTCGAAGCACTCCGTCATTTTGACCAATCGACTTAAATTCTGTGGTTAACATCATTCTCTATTTTTCCATTGTCTTGAATGATAGACTTAAAAATTTTCATATAAATCAATTTAAAAATAATTCTAATTAAATATCGTAAAAATAATATGCAATTTAAAATGCGACCATGACATTATTTCTTTAGTACTCTATGTGGATAAGTAGATTTAACTTTTAAGCTAGGGTCCGTTATCTTTAGCTAATTTTTTCAGCAATGCCCTAACGCCGGAACTCTGTCATTCACCTGGAGAATAACAAGGCCCCAAACCCGTAGTGTTTGTTTCGGTAATATTCTAATGGAAGAAGGCGGTCCTTCGCGATCACGGAAGCGCTCTTTCATGGACGCCGTCGACGACGGCTCGGAGAAAACATCCGGGTAACCATCGATTCAATTCTCTAGCTTGCACACGAACACGTCCACTTCTATCCCGCAGTAAATGCTATTACTATACTGTCTCAATTTGTTTCTTTGAAGTATTACTAGATCGAGCCCTAATTCGGATAGGATAGTGCATGAATTTCCTATATTCGCTTTTGATTTTTCGAGTTTCTGTTAGCTCAATGGTTGAATTCATAGCCCCACTGTAGTTTCATTCGAACTATATCTGATATTTTGAGCGAGAATCAGCTGATTGGTGCTATTCACTGCTGGAATTAGGTTTTCTATGTGTTTATACCAGTAGTAGGGCTTTTCCTTTTCCTGTTAGTTATCTGATGTGGTTTCATCATGAGTGCCTTATGGAAATAAGAATAAGGTTCCCAAAAGAAAATGAAGAAGCATGGCAATAAGATGGAAGGATGGGAGTGAAAATTTTCTAACTATGTATGTCGTTTTTGGAGAGAATCATTTGAATAGGGCTAATCACTGCTGGAATTAGGGTTGCTATGCATTTATAGTAGTAGTGGGGTTTTTTCCTACTTTTTTTAAATTGTTATATAATGTGGTTTTGTCATGAATGCCTTAGGGAAAAGAGAATAAGGTTCCCAAAGGGAAAGAAGTTAAAGCATGGGGATAACGTAGACAATGGGAGTGAAAAATCTCTAAGCGGATGGAAGAATGCCCGTGATGCAGCAACAGTGCGTGCAATGCATAGGAACAAAGTCACGAATGAACTCCTTGAGGAAGAAAATAGAGGAATGGCTCCGGATATTGCTCTCGCCGAGGAGACTTATGAGGTATTTCTTCCTCTACTTCTTATGTTCAAAACAAGTTTTCTTGCTTGTCATTAGGCATATGGAAGCAAATTTGAGTGAAAATTAAAGATAAGCTCAAACTCATTAAACTTATTTTGCTATCTGGAAAAAATACAGAACTTATTAATTTATGTCTTTCTATTATGTAAAACTAAGATATCTCGATATGTGATTTATTAAATTTATATTAATACCATTTTATTTTCATTTGCATTTTCCATGATAATCTACTATCGTGGTAGAGCTAAGTTCTGCCTACACACCATTCCCAAACCCACTTTTGTAGGACTTTATTGGGTATGCCGTTGCATTTTCCATGGTAAAGGCAAACACAAGGAAATACTATTTCTCAGCATTTTATGCCTTTCTCTAGCAATGGTCCAAACATACCCTAAGCGTTGGCCATTTTGTTAGCATTAACGTTGCCGGTTATCTTAAAAGTTCTAATCTTATTATTTACTCTGCATTACTGCATTAATTAGGTTGCTACAACTGTTATTCTGCATTATGTGGGAATTGGGATTCGTTATCCACTTTAGTCATCTTTTTATGACAATGCATAAAGAGATTGGGGCTACTCTTGGCAGGAAAATGAAATATTCATTGACGATGGAATCCAGATTGAACCTTTCAATCTCGAGAAAGAGAGAGAAGAAGGTTATTTTGATGCCAATGGAAATTATGTTGAATATGCTTATGAACGTGATGTCAAGGTAACAATCCTTCCCCAATAATAACTATTTGAATCAGCCTACTTCCCTGAGTCCATGAGTAGGATAAATAAAAATTAGAAACCGATTCTGAAATCCTAAACTTTGCAGGATGCGTGGCTTGATAGCATTGATGTTCATCCAAAAGCTGTTGGGAAAAGAAACGCTACAGCCGATGAAGATGAGGCCCATGATCTTACATCAGAAGAACTTGGGAAGATGAAGAGACGAATTGCAGATGTTCTTGATCCTGGGGAAACAGTAATCCTCTTTTTTACACTTTGATTTCATTTGCCTGTGATATTAGTGTCACTTCCTATGGTAATCAAAAAGGATTTTATTGCTATATGTAGACAAATTATGTGCATGCCTACATAAGTATCCAGCAAACAAATTGATTAAACATTGGATGAACAAATTTAAAAGTGATCAAACCTAGACCAAGTTGTTACTTTTTTATGGTTTAGTTGTTGATTACCACATTTGTTTGAACTCTTCTGTCAGGTTTTACAGGCACTAAGAAGGTTGAAAGGCAATTCAAAAAACGAGAAAATGACAACAGAGAAGAAACGACTATTTGATCAGCTAACAGAGGATGCCATGAGGCTGATGGAAAATGGCGATTACAGTTAAGAGTTTGCTTTACACACACAAAGACATCTCTAATGGTCTGCTTGGATGGAAGTGTTTTGGAGGGATAAGTCTATCTTGATATGAATTTTGTATTTGAAATTCTAAAAAAATGGAAGATAAAATATATTATAATTGGTGATTATACAATAATTCAATGACATTTTGTTCAATTTTTTTGAACATTTTATTTATAGATTGCCCTCAAAAGTCTTTTCCTTCAAAACCTTCCATCGAAACAGATCCCAAGGGGCAATGAATCAACAGACTATAACTAGGGTAAATATTTGTCTACAGATGTCTATGATGAAAGACAAGAAAACTTTCAGCGTGAAGCAGGTATTTTCTCTGTCATAGTATATGCATTTTACATTTATTTTCCACCATGTCCTTACTTTTTTTTTTGGCTCAACTCGGGGCATGGGCTATTTCTTTCTCATTTCTTCTCTCAATATGCAAGGTTTTTGTGTATATGTATGTGAGAGGGGGTGGATTGTGGTTCCTCTTTTGTCCTTTTTTATAACCTTTTTGTCCTTTTTATCTCAGAGATTTAACCATTTCCTTTTATGTTTTTATCTAGAGGGATATGAGAGGCTAATTCAAGCCAAGACACTGGGTATATCTAATGAGTTGAAGAATAATAAGACTTCTGGTGGTATTCTTGATGATGACTTTATTCCAGCAGACGGACCTTCATCAGTTTCTAGTCAAAATATAGGCCCTCCATCAGTTTCCAGCAACGGTGATGATGATTCTTATGACATGTTCACCGAAGATGATGGAAAGCCTCTTACTACTAACCCTGCCTCAGACGAGGGTATGTTTCAGAATGCTGAATTAGCTGTTGAGTGCTAACTGAATTGCTCTTATTCTCTTTTTCTTATAGTTAACTCTGTTTATCTTGGATGGCAGCTGTTCAGCAAAATGACTATGTATATGATGAGTCATCCGGGTACGTTTCTTTTTATAATATGTGGAAGCTGTTCAGTGCTTTTAGTACCATCAGTTCATGATTTTTTTTGGAACTTGGAAAATTCTAGGGAAATAAAATAAAGAGATAATTTGGAGAGAGAATGTTGAGGAGAAATTATTATGTTTGCTTTGAATCCAATAAAATGATTTTGCATATTTGTTCATACTCCTCTAAAAGAAAAACTTTCTACCCAACATCATTTTCCTTGGTATTTCTAACCCTTTTCCAAGCAAACCTTATTCCTATTATGTGCTTTTTTGTAGCTATTACTATAGCACCAGTTTGGGCTATTATTACGACCCTTCATCAGGACTGTATTGCAATGCTGCTTCAGGACAATGGTAATTACCAAGTCTTTCACTTTTCTTTTGAAGAGTAAACCGTAAAAAAAAATTTCTCGAATGAATAAATTATAAGTAGGTGATGGGTATAGTGGGACTGGCCTAAACATATATAGCGAGTAAAATCCAATATACCCAGCCCATTCCATTTATAACATTGTACTAACTACCGCACCACCTAAACCCACACATTTGGTAAGAGAATGCAGACCACTTGAAAAGGGTCGGGCAGTCAGTCTAACCCAAACTGGAAATGATGTTGAAAATAAGTCAAATGGCGGGTTGACCTATGCGCTAGGCTTAGGAGACAAGCTGCCCCCCCCCACACGTCCCTCATTATCTTCTATGAATATGGGTGACGTTCTCATGTCTTCGAGAGACATGAGAGGCATTTGATCCCTGTAAATATACCATCTCTTCTCCTACAGAGTGGTGGATCACATTTTGATATGCGAAGGGCGTGGGTTATAAAGCTTCGTCTCTCTTGCATTTTATTCTTTACGATCAATTATTACGTCATAATCCTGATAATAATATCTATATCTTTTTATTTTAAAATCATTTCTAAATTAATTGTAGGTATAGGTATGATGAAGAATTAGGCACGTACGAAGAGGTCCAACAAGGTGGAACCAACCCGAGCTAAGCCGAACACAATTTTGAACGGTTCAAAGCCGGTTCAGTAGTAGCATATGTGATGTGGATGCAATTGCGAAATCGTTTCTTTGAAGTATAGAGATGTTTGGGCTTTGAGAGAATGCTTTGGGGATAGACACTTCACACTTGTGTTTATAACTCTGAGATTTTAAATGATAAAGTATGGTTGTAACACCAAGATTTTGTACGCAAATTATACAGAGTAGAAAAGTAGNGGTAAATTAGGAAATGACAAGGGCAATGGACTATATGTGCTAAGATTTGTCTTTTGTTTCGTAGAGCTTTTAATATAGTCTTTTAATATGTGAGTTTTATTTCTTTAATTTCACTCCAATTCTCAAATAGGTGATTTAAATTAAAAAATAACTTCTAGTGAAACAAATGATTTAGATTGGGACAAAAGAAGTATATAATTATCTTGCATCGATTTGATTCAATTTTATTTGGTTTTGGATTAATTTGGTTCTCTACTCTTTTTTTTCCGGTTATAGTTTGGATATATATCAATTTGTATTGATATTGATTTGGATAGAATTATTTTAGATACTTTATATAAAATGACTCAAATAGACATTAATATTATATTTGAATTAAAATATTGCCTAAATGTTTAAGAAATTAAATATTACTTCATACTTTTAGGCCTTATCAAATGTTTAGCATTACTTTTAAATTAAAGTGTTTTTTTTGTTACAAAAAAGGTGTTAAATTTTTTTAAAAATAAAATATTAATTGTAAATATTTTTTCTTAGGTCTTCAAATATTCTTGTATTTGGATAAGTATTCAATAGCCAATTTGGCAAAGAGATTCGAGTTTGGAATGGAAAGTAGACCCAAAAAGAGCCGCATTTCAACACGCACAAAAAGAACTTTTATTTTTTTAAATAAATAAATAAATAAATAAAAAAGTTTTGCAGAAAAAAGGATTTGATCATCTAATTAATACTCCAGAATAGAATGTGCAGCACTGACTCAAAAGAGAATGAGACAATGAGAGAGCAGATAGGATTGTGATGATGAGGATGATGATGGTGATGATGAAGATGATGGTGATGGTTCCTTGATTCACTCTCCAAAAAACTCAATTCTAGGGTTTCGTATCTGATTCTCGAACTTGTTAGCTCCACAATTGTGTTTATGGAAACGACTTCGGTCGGGGACGGAAGGATCTGATACGGGGGCTTCGAAGATGACGGAGGAGGGATCGGAAAGGGACAACGGCCGATTGGCGTCTCTCGATTCGATCGAGTCGCGGTGGGTGTTTCAGGACGAGGAGGATTCCGATGCCGATGACGAGGGCACCGATGCGGCGGAGAGTGCGGACAGTTCGGTCCAGTGCAACGGCGTGGACTCCGACGATGAGGATGATAATGCGGAACAGCGGCTGATCAGGACCGGTCCTCGGATCGACTCATTTGATGTTGAGGCTCTCGAGGTCCCTGGCGCTCAGAAGAATGACTTTGAGGTGGTTTCTCTGGGTTTACTCTTGTTTTTGGGTGGAATTTATTCTTGTTTCCATTTCTATTAGCTCCCTGATCGTGTAATAATTGCAGGACCCTACTCTAGGGAGGAAAATCGGATTGGTTTTCCAGACACTTGGTGTTGTTTTCGGAGATGTGGGAACAAGCCCGCTGTATACCTTCAGTGTGATGTTTAGTAAAGCCCCTGTGAATGGGAATGAAGATGTTCTTGGCGCATTGTCACTGGTGTTGTACACATTATTTCTGTTCCCTTTGGTAAAATATGTCCTTATTGTTCTCTGGGCAAATGACGATGGTGAAGGTATGTGTTTGGAATTCTTCAATAGTACTCTCTCCATTGTTAGAAAAGTATCCCTGAGAATTTGAGGCTGGTTTTTAAAATGTGTATCCTGGAAAAATTGAGGCTGGTTCTCTACTTGTATGATGCATTAATGAGATTAATTTATCTCATTGATTCATAATTGCAGGTGGTACATTTGCTCTATACTCGTTGCTTTGTAGGCACGCTAAGGTTAATCTTCTCCCCAACCAACTGCCATCAGATGCTCGCATATCGAGCTTCAGACTCAAGGTTCCATCTCCCGAACTTGAGAGGTCTTTAAAAATAAAGGAAAGACTTGAATCATCACTTACATTGAAAAAGCTTCTTCTGATGTTAGTTCTTGCTGGCACCTCCATGGTGATCGCTGATGCTGTCGTGACTCCTGCTATGTCAGGTTCTCACCCCCCATCAATGATCTTATTTTTTTCGGTCAATATCGCCATCACTTGTATATATGATTTGGAACTCATCTTGTTTCTCTGTTTTTAATGCAGTGATGTCTGCCATGGGTGGCTTAAAAGTTGGCTTCGCTGCAATTGAGCAAGGTCATTTCTTGTGAGGATAACTGTGTATAATCTATATCTTTCATCTACCTTTAAACACCTCTTGGCTGCAATTGCTAGTTGCTCCATTTGCTACTTGAGACAGAAAAACTGATCTGGAGAAGCAGTGGTTAGCTTGTTAGTACTTTATCGGCAATTATGGATAAAACTGATAATTGTTTCCAATTATCAATCATCAATGCTATATGCAAATATGTAATTATGGCTCCTTCTATAAATAACCAAGTAAATACTGATTAACTCCTGAAGTGCCAATTATAGTATGTTGAAACTCAAGTATGATTAGGAAAGTCTCTATTGTCATGCCTTTAATTACTGCTTATGAATTGTAAAGATTTCTATTCTTAATTTTTGCATCTAATAAAAAAAGAATTTAATGTTTCAGTTATTGTCTTAAATTTCTTTTACCTACTTTGTGGGAACAGATCATATTGGTTATTTGGTTTTCTTCATTTGGAAAATGAAGAAATCAGATTCTGATAGATTGTGCAGCACAATTATGATGAGAAATAAGCGTGCTATGCTACTGGTAAATGTTTGTGATTATCTTGAGATCAACTAGGAATGCAGATTGCAATATCCACATAATGTGAGCTTGCGTCACCACTTAAGGCAGCACATATATTTGTTTTATATAATAGCGTATTTGTACAAGAGAAACAAGTCAACAACAACAACAACAACAACAAACCCAGTATAATCCGGCCCAGATAGACTATATTTGCTAGACCCTTGATGCATGTAGTTGCTAAAGCTTAATAGAAAGTAAGAAGCAAGACAAGCTTAATGCACTGTTTTGATTTAGAACATTAGTTATCGGAAGCTAAATCATTTTCAAAATGACTCTGCTAAATCTGCATGTATTTATTTCTTACACGTTTCCACTTTTGCAGATGAAGTGAAGATGATATCAGTGGCATTTCTTGTTATTTTGTTCAGTTTACAGAAGTATGGAACAAGTAAAACAGGGATTGCAGTTGGTCCAGCATTATTCATTTGGTTTTGCTCTCTTGGGGGAATTGGACTTTATAACATTATGAAGTACAACAATGGTGTATTAAAAGCATTTAATCCAGTTCACATATACTACTATTTCCAAAGAAATTCTACCAAGGCCTGGCGTGCACTAGGCGGCTGTCTTTTGTGTGCAACAGGTACATAAGTAGGGCTTGAATGTGAATTTTTGAATATTGGAAATTTATGTTTTGTATGGGTGGTGCATTACGCAATAAAACAACGTTCCGTGACCTGCATGCGGATTTTACAATATCAATTTGTAATATGATATGACTATAACAGTTTTCTCACCCACCCCCATCTCATAATGCTTTCTCTGTAAGTCAGAAATACAGAGTATTCTATAATGATTCCAAGTTTTACTGAACTAGAATAAGTAAACAGTGTGCTACTTATTTTCTTCATTTTTCTTTAATTACTTCCCATACTACTAATATACTCATAGTACTGAAGGTTATTACATTGTTACAGGCTCTGAAGCAATGTTTGCAGATCTATGCTACTTTTCTGTGCGGTCAGTTCAGGTAAAGTAGTAAACTGGGCTGAGGTGCAGAACAAGTTATATGTTTCTAACAATTAACTCTTTCCACAGTTGCTACATATATCTGAAGTTTATATTATTATAATTTCCTTTCCAGCTTACCTTTTTACTTCTCGTTCTGCCATGCCTTCTGCTGGGTTACCTTGGTCAAGCTGCGTATTTGATGGATAATCATGCTGATACAACAGAAGCATTTTTCACTTCTTTACCAAGTAACCTTCTGATCCTCAGACATGTCTTTCATCTTTTGCATAGAAGTATTTATATTATAGATTTTCTTCGTATTTTCATACAAAACCTTCTTTGACTAGTTAATTTTCTGATGCTAGGTGTCTAATAAAAAGTTTCAAGTACTGAAGATTTTCTTTTAAATACAGGCGGAACTTTTTGGCCCGTTCTTTTAATTGCTAATATAGCAGCATTGATTGCCAGTAGAGCAATGACCACCGCAACTTTTTCTTGTATTAAGCAATCAATAGCTCTAGGATGCTTTCCGCGCCTCAAAATTATACACACATCAAGGAAATTCATGGGACAGATTTATATTCCCATCATGAATTGGTTTCTGCTGGCATTGTCTTTGGTGTTGGTCTGCTCTATCTCAAATATTTATGAGATCGGAAATGCTTATGGTAAATTTTGAAGTCCTCTTTCCCAATAGCTTTATTTCTTCATTTTATTTTTTCTCATCTTTTAAATATGCTTTTGTACTGTATAGTTGCATACTGATTAATGAACTTTCAGCGGGGATTGTCAAAATGAAGATATATTTATTTCTTCTTGATGTATAACCAAGCAAATTCATTCAATCTAATTTCTGTATTAATATTACAGAGTACTCAATTCCTTGTCAAATAACTGTGCATTTAGCAAATCCAAAAAGTCAAACATAGTTGAATAACAAAGTTACCCTCATATACTTATTCGCTATTGCTTGTTACTTTTTAACACTTAGAACTGGGGTACAATGTCAATTTATGATGAAATTACTTACTGCACTACCTTAAAAACCCACAGTTCTTCCTTATCCCACACCCATATGTTAATGGAGGGACTAGGGAGGGGTTTCTTTGTACTGCATTCAGTTGGTCCTTGGTAGCTAGCTTCTGAGTTACATACAAGGTATGGTTTGTTTCTATCTGATGTTTATTTAAATATAACTTATCATGACAGGCATTGCCGAGCTTGGAGTGATGATGATGAGCACAACACTTGTAACCATTGTTATGCTTCTCATATGGCAGATAAACATAATTATTGTGCTGAGCTTTGTCACAATTTTCTTGGGTTTGGAGTTGACATTCTTTTCTTCAGTGATATGGAGTGTGGGAGATGGGAGTTGGATCATACTGGTGTTTGCTGTCGTCTTGTTTCTGATAATGTACATATGGAACTATGGAAGCAAGCTGAAGTATGAAACTGAGGTCAAGAATAAGATGTCCATGGATTTGTTGCGGGAATTGGGGCCAAACCTCGGAACGATCCGAGCTCCTGGAATTGGATTGGTTTACAATGAACTTGCTAAGGGTATACCTGCAATCTTTGGCCATTTCCTTACCACCCTGCCAGCCGTGCACTCAATGATCATTTTTGTGTGTATAAAATATGTCCCTGTCCCTGTCGTGCCTCAAAGTGAAAGGTTTTTGTTCCGGCGTGTCTGCCTCAAAAGCTACCACATTTTCCGTTGTGTTGCCCGGTAAGTACATTAAAATCCCGTTTTAATAACATGTTTTGTGGTTTCACCGTTGCACATACATTAGGTTACACTCCCTCTGCCCTAGATAAACTTTGGCATTTGACTTCTTGGTGTTTAAGAGAAATTGTTACAAAATAAAAAAAAAAGTAAGTGGTTGAAATTTAAACAGAGATTCCTAAACACAAAAAAGGATGTGAAGGTTATTTTGAAACCATAAATTAATTTTTATTTTCTTTGAAATGATTAGAATTTGTTTAGAAGAAATAGAAATGATTTGAGACCTACACCCTTCTCTTTAAAAAAAGAAATGAGAAAAGTGTGAAGTCAATTTTTGGACAGACAAAAGAAAAATGTGAAGCTTACTTGAGAAGTAGATTTGTGCATGACACAAAACAATTCAACCTTTTGCTGTGTGGCATGCTTTCTAACTAGTCCTCCCCTCCAAACAGATACGGCTACAAGGACGCCCGCAAGGAACACCACCAGATCTTTGAGCAGCTCCTGATCGAGTCTCTCGAGAAATTCATCAGAAGAGAAGCTCAGGAACGGCAACTCGAAAGTGACGGCGACGACGAGGATTCAAACTCCGAAGAGGAAGGTGGGCCATTCTTCTCATCGCCGAGAGTCCTCGTGGGCCCCAACGGGAGCATGTACACGCTAGGGGTCCCTCTCCTTTCCGACATAAGGGACACCGGGAAATCGGCGGCCGTCGAGGAGGAGCTCGTGGAGGAGGAGGAGCGGCAGCGGCGGCTGGTGGGGTCGGAGGCGGAGCAGAGTCTGGAGAAGGAGCTGTCGTTCATACACAAAGCAAAGGAGTGTGGGGTAGTCTACCTTCTGGGGCACGGGGATATAAGGGCAAGGAAGGACTCTTGGTTCATTAAGAAGCTCATCATAAACTATTTCTATGCATTTCTGAGGAAGAACTCCAGGAGGGGAATTGCCAATCTCAGCGTCCCCCACTCTCACCTCGTCCAGGTCGGTATGACTTACATGGTCTGACTCCTTTTTTTTCTTTTTTTTTTTGGGAAAAATTTACCCAATACTCTGAGATTTACAAGATTGCATAATTATTACCAACACTACCAGAAATTCAATATTTGTACAATAATACTTCAAGATTTTGCATATTGATCAAAGATATGCCTAAAAATTGTGGGATCCATATAAACATTAAAATGTTTCTTGGAGTATTTTTGTAAGTATATTAAATTTCTAGGGACAGTGATGATAATTATGCAATTTTGGAGTACTTGTGTGAAATCTAAGAATTCTGAGAGTATTGGCGTGAATTTTTCCTGTTTTTTTCCCGCCCACTATGCAAATTGAGTTCATACAGAACGTGAGAACTACGTACATTCTTGTTGTCTCTTTGAAGCTAAGATTCATTTGTTCAATTTTTTTTTTAAATTTCTTCTTCTCACTTGGGTTGCATGTATTTATTGTGAACCATGTGATGGTTTTGTGTTTAAGAGATTTTGCAGTTTGTCCCAAAGGCTACATTGCTATTCTTTTTTACTTACTCATTTTGCCACATTTAGAGTGGAGTGCCGGACTTTTTTTTTTAAATACAAAGATTCAGGAACTTGGCATGCCAGAATTTGTTTTAAAAAATAGAGTACTTCTGTTTTAATACCAAAGTTATACGTTTCACAAACATGTAATACAGACAATAACTTTATGGTTCATGACAAATTCTTACATGGTCTTAAAGTTTATATTTATTTTATGGATTTTGGTGCATTGCTATTATAAAAGAATTGAGTTCAGATGAATGTGTCTTTGGCTCTTCGCCTGACCTTACACTATTGGAATCAATTTTCATGAAATTTTTAACATGAAATAATTATGGAGTATCTTGTAAAATACAGTGCTTTCATGATTTGTTTTTTAACTCAGTGTGTCAAAAACATGAATGATTTTATTTATTTATTTTTTTGTACAAACAAATATGGACGATTTAGAGTTACATAACTATAGCCAAATGGCCAATTATAGCATGAAACACATCGTGGCGGACTAAAATGAAAAAGTGCCACAAGAGCAATATTTTCTTTGAAAATAAGTTCAATATTTTAACAATATGATTATTTGACATTAGAAAAATGGTCTGAGAATAACGCGGACACCTACGGTGCTTCGTAGTTAAAATTAATTATTTTTTATCCCAACGATACCCCTTTCCTCGCCTAGCAATATACTGCTATTCTACGTGAGATTATACTGTCAGGAAAGGAGGGGCGCTAGGGTGGAAGGTTTAGGAGAGAGGTTAAAGGTATGGAACAATTTAAATGAGCACATTAAATACNCCCCCCCCCCCCCCCACTTTCAATCCAAGATCAAAATAGCTTATACTCCCAGCTAGAAGATATTTTACCCTTTCATATTCCCCCGATTCAAAATAGCTTATACTTCTTTTCATGTCTACTTAGTTAAATATAAATAGTACGGAGTATGAAATTTAAAAATGAAGTTTCTATATTTAGAAATTACATTAAAAACTTTACAAAAATTAGTGACATGAGTACATCATTTAAACAAATGATTAAAATAAGTACGGAGTACATAAAGAACAAGATTTTTATTGACTATGAATAGTAAAAATGAAGATAACTATGACATGAAGATTATTATTATTATTATTATTATTATTATTATTATTATTATTATTATCATCGAGAAACTGAAAAGTTAATTTGTGGATAGGAGTACTACTATTATAAGAAAATTCGAACATTGTTTTTATGATTAATTCAATCAATAACTCCACTTTTTCTCAACAAAATCAACTATCCATACCAAACTGAAATTCCCAAATGGACTCATAATGCTTAGCTACTTACGAGTATTAGCTGCAAGGGAAGAGTTCAACTACAACAAGCCAATTAACACTAAATTGCACCATACAACCGATAATATCTGATATCTGTGTGTGTGTGTGTGTCTAGAATGACAAGGTTTACTTACTGGTTCAAGCTTTCATTCTGATGATGATGATGATGATGATTATGAGCATCAACGCTATGACTATGACCAAGAGTATGAGGTGCGTTAGAAGAAGCCAAGAAGGGAGCTGAATGGATTTCCCTTTCTTTGGATGCAAATTTGAGCCTTAGAAGCAACGAGTTTGTCATAACGCCAATGGAGCTCAACCCCATGAGAGCTCCAGCTATAGATGGGGTTAGCATCGTCCCCGTGAATGGTAACAAAATTCCAGCTGCCACCGGAAGTCCAACCTGCCCACGTCAAAACAACACATGATTTTCTTTTTATTTTATTTTATTATTTGGTCCCTCCATAGTCCGTCCCGTATTAAACTTCTCATCGTTTTTGTAAATGGCCAAATGGATGGTGGTAATTCAAAAAAATAAACCAGATTGAATAGAATCTGTGTATTGGGATATGATAATCTTAAAAAATTTAAACAACTCACAATGTTGTATCCAAAGGCCCACCACAGGTTTTGTCTCACTGTCTTCATGGTAAGCCTGCTAAGCTCCAGTGCATCAAGCAACTACAGAAGATGATTGGTCAAACATTTTCACATCTTCAAAAAGAAATGAAAAGATAGACCGGATTTTTTTAAAATTATATGTGAGCCAGTTCAACCGCAACAAGAAGAAATGAGGAAATTATGACACTGAAGTCGAAGAAACTGTGGGTTAAAGGCCTCACCTGAATATCTGATTCAAAATCTGTCATGTCATCTCAAAGAAAATTTGTGGGAAAGACAAACTCGGTTCAAACTCAACAAATTAGTTTAACATGTTTGTGGGAGCTCGTGGAACATAAAAACCAATTTCCCTTAACCGGGCACACACACCCACCAAAATTCCCCATAAGATTTTAGCATTCCAAACGAAAAATAAGCCTTAAGGATGTGTTTGGTTGGAGGGGGATGAGATAGAATGTGAGAATTAGAATGTTTTTAAAAACTATTTTATCCTCACCCTCCATCTCATTTCCCTTCTCTCGCCTCCAACCAAACACAACCCGAAGTTCATGGATTTACGGTTAGATGCAGAATAAACACATTGGACTAGGAAGTTCAGACAATGTCACTGAGTTGCTTCTAAGAAGAAGCTAACTACAGAGAGATATATTTAAGTAACTGAACTAACAAACCTGAGAAAGTCGATTCTGCATTAGAACAATAGAAGACACGTCACTTGCAGCCCCAACCCCACCACCAATAGCAACTCCGACATGTGATGATGCCAATGCAGCAGCATCATTAATTCCATCACCGACCATAGCTACTATAACTTGCTGATCCTTTTGAAGTGCACTCACAAACTTGCTCTTTTCATCAGGCTTAACTCCATAGAATACCTGCAAAACACCGCCATTTCGCATTTGGCTACTTTAAGGGAAAGCTTTATGAATTGCATTCAGATGATCACACTTATTATTAAATGTGTTTTTTTGGGGGATGGGGGGTCTGAAAGGATCTAACAAATAAAACAGCTGCATCATATCGCGATATAAATAGAGAACTAGTCAACTAGAGTTGTGAAAGGTTTAGTAAGTAATGGTGGTTTGGAGAGTGGACACTATGACTTAGGCTTATAATCTTCTCATAGCCATCATTAGCCATGTAATTATTTCCTATGATATGATTTTCATACCCTTGTAAATTTAATGACGTCTAAGGGTACATTTGGAACCTGGAAATGCTAGGGAAAGAGGAAAATACCAAGGTTAGTTATTTTCATACGTTTGATCTTACCATTCTTACCACACAAAAAATGCAAGGGGAAATGAAATAAGATTAATAATTCGTAATTTTTTTATTTTTACATATGTATTTAAATTTTTTTAGTTTGTATATAAGGGGAATAGATAGATAAAATGAGTTTGAACAAATATAAAAAATAAATTCGTCTAGTTTGAACACATGTTTTCTTTTCCCTCATATTCCCTATATTTCCTTCCATAATTTCCCCTACCATTTTCGGAGTTCCAAAGCTCAACCCCCAAGCTAATGAAGATTTTGCTGAAACAACCTCTATCCTTTACAGGTAGAGGTAAGGTCAGCGTACATCCTAGACACCACTTTTGGAAATGCACTGGAAATTCAAAATCCTTACATTTTCCTTGGGAATACCAACAACTGATGCTACATATTCAGCAGCATTTTTCTTGTCTCCAGATAGCAAATAAGTGCTTATCCCTTGCTTAGACAAAGACTCAACCACATGGTGGGCATCTTCGCGGACTTGATCCTCAACATAAATAAGGCCAGCAAGAACACCATCTACTCCTACATATACAACTGATTGGTTCTTAAAATCATCAAATTCTTGGATCGTAGTATGACTAGTATCATCAACTCCATGCCTGCGTGTGTAAGAAAACATAAAACCAAACTGAATCAAACAACTAGTTGAACCTCCCCCCCACCCCATTCTGTTGTGCATAGAAAATAATTAAAAGTAAAGAAATTGAAAAAATGCATATATGATTTGTTATTTAAGAAAAAACAGAGCTTAAACTTTGACATGCCAATCAAGATGGGGTCACTTCGCACCTTCATTTAAATCCCAGTCCCCAGCAAAAAGAGTCATGTTTTAGAAAAAGGAGTCAACAAAACTATTTTTTATGTAATTTACGTTTACCAAAAAAAGTAACACACAAGTTAAATGTGACTTTTAGTTAAACCCACAAATAAATTTTAAAATAATGTATGATTCCATTACTTTTACGAGGTGTACCTTGCCATAATTAAAAGAGAAAGTGTACCTTGACCAATTATGACTCTTTTTAGTGACAGAAGCATAGTGAAAATAAATCATAAAAGAACTCAGTTTCTATCAGCATATCTCATGAGTGTTTTGTATTTTAATACTCCCTCTGTCCCAAAAAGATATTTACATTTACTATTCACAGGGTAAAACTATATCCACATTCTTTACCTATTTTCTACACCAACTTTGAAATAAATTGAACAGAAAATAGCTTCAACCAAGCAACCTAAACCGCAACGTCAAGTTCTTTATGGGACCAAGTGAGTAGTATATTTTAGCTGCTAAGCATGGATCTCCCAAGTAATAATGATAACGAACTAAACCAAAAATTTTGAAGCCACAAAGGGGATTAAAACAAAGAATGAAAGTGGCTCACAAGTGCAAAAAAAAATATTAGTACCTCCTAACCCACTCTAATGTACCAATGGAAACCTTTTTCTGTTCGATAACTGCTACTGCACCAGATCCAGGTTCTTCTATGAAAGATCCATCTTTTGCCTGCAAATATATTAATCTGAAGTACTTTCATGCTGGACCAAAACTAATGTTGAGAAGAAAACAAAACAATAATGATAAGACCAGTCATATAAAAGCATATAGGTTATATGATTAGCTAGTACTTCGTGCATTTTGCCAATTACAAAGCAAGAATGCAAGACAGTATACCTTTATATTTGGGCAGTTCATAGAATTAGCAGCCTCCACAATTGCTTTACCAATTGGATGATTGGTGTTAGATTCAACACCAGCAGCAAACTTTAGGATGTCAGCTTTTGACCATTTGTATGTGGAAGCTGAATCTTGTCTGTTCAAAAACAAAACTCATTATGTCTTCTTTAATATCTTTAAAATTAGTGTTGTGAAAATCAGACTAGGCAGCCCAAGTCCGAAGGAAAAACTAAAAATCAACCTTCTTTAGACGTTGGGTCGAATAGGTGGGTGCGTGTTAGTTCCCTGCTAAGTGCCCTACGCTCATTCACTAGGCAGGTACTCCACATTATTGGTGTTTTTAGAGAAATGAGTAATAAACATAAGTTGCATTACTTGCACCGCCCCCAAAAAGATACATGTTTCAAGAAATTTTGTCCTAAAAAACAGATGCAGTTTTAAAAGTCAACTTTCATTTCAAGTGAATTTCCTATAAAGCCAAGCAGCAAGCAGTATGAGTTAATTACTTCCAACAATCTTGGCAATAAGATTTAGGGATATAAATGACCATTCATAATTTACAAAAGCATGTACTTTGATTGTTAAGTAATAATAATAAGTTGTACCACACTCAAACATGACTTTTTTGGGGGAACGAAGACCGGAGGGGTGAGTATATTTTATTTATTTTAAAATAGGTACTCTAAGGGTATTGTTATATTGGGTATAGCACTTAGATATTTCTGCAACCTGTGTCTAAAATGCATTACAAGATTTATCCTAAACTATGAAAATCAGTATCTTTTTACTCAACCTTGCATGTGTTTCCACAATGCAACCTTGTGGAACAACTCTTGTGACAGTGGGTCTACCAGTAGTCAATGTTCCTGTTTTGTCAAATACAATGGCATTCACCGTAGAAAATTTTTCTAAGATGCTTCCACCACGCAAAAGCAATCCCCTTGTGGCACCAAGTGAAGTTCCAACCTTTGATCAAAAGAATGTTACCAGACTATTTCAAAAATGCACTACAGACTATTTAAATTTGTCATCCATGGATCTATTCTGTAAATAAATCTTACCATCACAGCAGTTGGGGTAGCCAAACCAAGGGCACAGGGACACGCAACAACCTATGCAGAATTTATTGTCTAGTCAAATCAAATAGAAGATGAGATAGAAAAAGGTCTAGAAGTAGAAGATGCAAGTCAAGCCAATCAGAGTATGACACTAAATGATGATTGGAAATGTTGGGAACCCTAAAAAGCTCATTTGGAATATTGAAAATATAAGGGAAATGAAATAGGAAGGAAAATAGAGAGAAGAATTAGAAGGCAAGAGAATTTGGCGGAGAAATTTTAAAAAAATCTTCAAACTCAGTGAGTTTATTCTAGATGTGTCCAAACTCATTTTATCAAGTATTTCTATCATTTAAAGACTTATAAATCTACATATATGTATATTGTCAAAGAAATCATTTCCTTTGCGTTTCCCAAGGTATTATTATTAATAACAACAACGAAAATCATAATTATAATTATAATAACTTTACACTTTTCCCTGCTACTTTCCCGGATTCTAACATAACCAAAGAGATTAAAATAAACAAAGAAACAGCATATTAAGATGTTGCGAGAGGAAGATAGTTAACGAGCATCCGTGATGTTAAACCTTGAAGAACGGTGTCTCATAATTCTCATTTCACTTTACAAACATACCAGGACAGTACAAGAGAGCTGCAAGGCCAGAGAAGTCAAACTTCCTTGATGAAGAGTGGCAGGCAAAATGCGAGCTCCAAAGAGGTTCCAGAACATAAATGTGGCAGCAGAGAGAGCTATCACTCCATAAGTGAAATGCCCAGAAACCTATTTTTACATAGAAGCAACACAGCTTATGATTGAAAAGAGCAATTACTATATTTGAATACCACAAGCAAATGAAAGGAGACATGGAGAAAGAAAGAGAAGATCATTTTGACATATTTTAGGAAATTTGCGAACATCAATATTAATACACAAGAATGTTTTCTTTCTTCTGCTTTAAAACAATAATATACTCCGTATGTGCTTTTTGAAGGCTGCATGTAGTTTTTACAACCATTTAAAAATATCACGGATAAACTTGAATCTTTTTAATTTTCTGTTGCATTTACAATGACTATTTAGACAATGACGGAGAGGGAGGGAGGGAGGGAGAGAGAGAGAGAGAGAGAGAGAACAGGCAACAACCAGTCTTTCTGAAGTATGAATGATGCTTATCCTAATAAAAAATACATAAAAATGAAGGAAATAATAACCTTATCAGCTAGTTGTTGTACAGGAGCTTCTCTTGTCTGTGCTTCTTCAACCAATCGAACAATATCCCCGATTGCAGTCTCACCACCTGGTCTTTGCACTTCAACAGTAAGCATCCCATTGAGATTGATACATCCAGCAGAAACTTGACCCTTGAATCGAAACAGAAAATGTTAGACAATTCAAAGAAAGATAAACCATTCACCAACACTTCACCCTCTCACCAAAAGAATGCTACTCGTAATAATTACTAATAAAAAAATAAGAAGACACATGTAGGTCTCACAACATATAAAAAATAAGAACTGCAGAACATAAATAGAAGTTGACTACCCCAGGTAATTTCGTGACTGGTAAAGGTTCCCCTGTGAAACTCGATTCATCAACTGTGCTTCTACCAGCTCTAACAATTCCATCAGCAGGTATACGGTCCTGTTGTATGGGAGAATAGAACAACTCTTTACAAACATAAATACTAAAACATTGAAGCATAATGAGTTAAAACTGATTTTGGGCATACTAATCCTTTGATTCCTTTTAGAATAAAAGACAGATGTGCTTCTGAAGTGGTAGAAAAAACAGATCCGATTCATTGATTATCAGGCCTATGCAATAATGCAAAACAAAGACACTCTTCCTGGCATTACATAATACTCATACAAAAATAAATAAAGCAGTAAAGCACAATAAACCATAAACATACCCCAGGCAGTACGATGATATGATCTCCAACAGAAAGATTTGTGCAAGGAACTTCTACAGTTGATGCCTGACCCCCCGTGTCACTATCAACTACAAGACGAGCTTTAGATGGTAATGTATTAAGGAGACCTGTCATGTCACTTGTAGCTTTAATTTTAGCTCTCTGCTCAAGATTCCTTCCCAGCAAGACAACTGCAATCAACATTACAGGTTCCTCAAAGAATGCTTTCCATCCCTAGATGTGAGAAAGTTTCATCAAAGGAGACTACAAAATTCAAAAAAAAAAATGTCTACAGGTGGAGCAGAGAAATAAACTGCATGAAGGGGGGGAATAGTGTAAAGCATGTACCAAAAAAAGAGTGGCCCTTGTAAGAATGTTGCGACATGATGTGCATTCGATGTAAGAATTTGTCACTATACACCTTTTGTATGAATGCATAGTGTGTACTAGTTTTATATTATTAAGTGTCACTAACTTTCATCTCACTGACCCAGTGAAAAAGGAAAAATCATGAGCTCAAATACAAGAAATTACCAGTTTTGGCATAAGTGCTGCCATTGAACTCACAGCAAAAGATGACAAGGCCCCGAGACTGACTAGAGTATTCATGTTTGGTGCCCCCTTAATAAGACTTTTCAGACCATCTATGATAAGTCGCCGACCGGGAATAAGCAATGTAAACAAAGACAAAGATATATGAAATCCTGTAGAATGAAGTGCATGGATCCATGAAGCCTTCACTCCAATGAAATTAGAAAGATGGCCTACAAGGCAGACAGCACATAAAGCCCAAGAGACAACAAGTCCACGGCCTGTTGAAATCCAAGTGGTTATTTTCATAGCTTAGCTTGATAAACGGAGAAAATTTCAGGACAAATTTCCAACACCCTAAACTTAAAACGCGACAAGTACCACTTGCTTGTAGTTGAGCACGCTTTTCTTTCATCTTCCTCTCAAATCTTTCAAACAAGATCTCTCTTCGGGAATCTGCATTCAAGTTAAATATCAAATTATCAACAGCAACAAGCCCAGTATAATCCCAACTCCGTGGGGTCTTGGGGGTCAAGATGTATGCAACCTTACCCCTATAAAAAGCAGAGAGTAATTCTGTTGGACCCTTGACACATTGATGCATTTACTTCCCAAAACTTCATAAATATCGATCTAGTCCATCATTACCCGAAGCTAAAACATTGTAAAAATTGACTCTTTTAGTTCCATTAAGAATGTATAATAAATAGCGTATTATCATGCAAAAACTATTCAATCACAAGGAGATACGAAATTCATCTGAAACTGGATCGGCAGAATTGAAGGCCTTGACAACACTCGGGCCAACCATAAATTCTAGTAGTTTGGTAACTGTTAATGTGATAAGCAAGATGGAAGTTCTGTTAGCTTAGACATGGATTAAGGAGTATACACCACTTTAAGTGAATAGTTAGTATGTGACTTTCCACTTCAGAAGCAGAATGTCAAAAGTTTATTACATGTTTAAGTGCTAAAACAAGTAGAACTCTAAAAACTGCACTAGATGCACCATTTGGAAGGATCATATCATAATCCTTTAAGATATATTGGATTCCTTGGGACTAGGTGTTTCATAGAAGGCTTCACGTAGAGAGCTGCCTGTCCCGCATTAGATGGGAAAAATAAAACTTTAAAGAAAAAAAGATGGACACCGTCAGCCTGCCAAGTCAGTTGACTGCCTTTATTCATCAATAAGAGCAAAATCAGGCCAGCAAGGTGCCACCTAGTGCCCAGCATCCGTTTTTTAGATTATCGGTGATATGATGTTGTAAAATTGATGTGTACTAAAAATTTGATTTACTAAATATTCAAAAAATACTCCATCTGTCCCATAATAATTGTCTCACTTTCTTTTTTCATCCGTCCCAAAAAAAATGTTGCATTCCTTTTTAAGGAAAAGAACACCTAGTTCAGAAATTTTCTCTCCTCTGCATAAATTTCAGTCACACACGTTTCACTTTTTAACATTTTTCTTAAACTATGTGAAAGTCAAAGTGTGGCCTTTTTTAAGGGACGGAGGGAGTAAGTACCACCCGGATCATCGGTGGTATTTGCCAGTCAGCTAAATGAGGAATACTTTCCAGATATATATGCAAAAAGAAATCATTTCTCTCCATTACAACAGAAGAAAATGGGTTTTTGCTGAGTTTGGTGTTGTTGCAACAGAAGAGAACGGAACGGGATTTGAAAGCACCAAAAGGCCAAAAAATAACTTCAGAGTTCAGACTTGCATAGAACAGTAAATAACCACGATGAGAAGGACGTCCGTATATCAAGATGTTCCAAAGGTTTCACAGAAAACATGCTTCAAATGATTGCACATACAAGTGATACAACAAGAGAATTACACTCACAAGTAGCTACCGAATGTAGGAAGTATTATTCAGCCACTACACTGGAGAACAAAATAAGAAAGGTGATGGACAAGACAGCATGCCCATCATGAGCTAGAAAGTGTCTAACATTTCAAAACAGAAAACCATTCAGTGGGAGCGATAGGTTTTGTTGACTTAAATTCGTAAAAATTTCTCTACTTGTCCATAATGCATAGGCTTCCCGAGTTCATCAATGTCTTCCTTCAAAAAAATCACCACTACTAGCCGCCAAGTCACCTATTGATAAAAACAATCTTTTGTTAAGCACATACTAACCTAAATTTTTAACCAGAAAGAAAATATTACTCTTAACTGGGTTTGAGTTACATGCCAGCATGATGGGGACATACCATGAAGGAGAATGGTTTCTCATTACAATTAAATCTTTGATTTCATGATGGGGTTTCTCCTTCAATAGCTCCCTCCCCTGTGAATTACCCATCAAGCTTAATATAAGTAATATGAGACCCAAGCCTAGCACATTAAAATTGTTTTCAGAGTAGAGAGGAGGGCATTAGTGGACTAGAAATCTACAATCAATTTTTTCACTCTTTTGATTTAGTAAAACTAGATTATACAGACCTAGAGCAGAGCAGTGTTCCAAAATCTAAACATCAGGTCCCACCTAAGCAGAAATGAGCTTGTTTTTGGAAATACAGGAATCCTAAAAAAAATTATACACCGTACTTCAATACTCTGCTGTACTTTTATCAAATTGAAATTTGTATTCCAATTTCACATTGTCTCAACACTAGCTTGTATCATCTAACCATTGGATTCGATTTTCCAAGATTTCGCCATTAAGCACACTATATTTATTTGAATGAGAAGATTGGATTTTCCCAATGAAAAGCATCCATGTATGTATGATACCAAACAAAAGAAACTCGGTAAAATTTCACATAATGGGGTCTGAGGAGGGTGAGTTTGCGCAAACCTCTATACTGAAGAAGTAGAAAAGCTATTTTCAAGAGACCCCAACTCAAAACAAAAAGATCATAGAAAGGAAAAAAGCAGGTAAACGAAAGAGAAAAGACAAAAGAGAATAGCACAACAGAAGCAAGCACACACGTAGATACAACAAAATAAGACAACAAGTCCTGCACAAGGGCATAGCACTACCCAAAATCTACCATACCATCTTAATCCTAAACCTCCACAAGCTCCTATACTTAGTTAACTTGTGAGCCCATAAGTCATGTTTAATCACCTTGATCCAACTCTTCTTAAGTCTACCCCTATACCTCCTCACACCCCCTACCTCCAGCCTCTTGCACCTCTTCACAAGAGAATTCGTACTTCTCTTCTGCACTTGCCCAAACTATCTCAATCTTGCTTTACGCATCATATTCTCAATGAAGACTACTTACACCTTCCCCTATATATCTTTGTTCTAATTTCCGAACCTTGTCTATCCTCGTATGCCACTCCAAGCTTCTGAACGTGAGTGTTCTTCACTACTCAGCACTTTGTTCCATACAACATATATGGTCTGACCTAGAACTTCCCTTTCAATTTTGTTGATATCTTTTTGTTACATAAGACACCGTAAGCAAGCTTCCACTTCATCCAAGTCGTTCCCATAAGAACATCACATCGTTTTTAAAGTCTTCATACACTCACCCTCTTCAGACCTCATTCTGTGGGATTTTACTGGGTTTGTTGTTGTTGTATGGTTGAATGGTAGAATGGCTTAAAATGCAAAGGTTTTTCTAAGTTAACAATCGAGAAGTACATGAATATATCCTATAAAAGTAATGCTCCTTTATTCGATAATTTCTCTCTATTCTGTTTTGTTTCTTGGCTCGAACTTTGGACCAATAGTATCTTTTAAAATATATTAGTAAAAATTATATAAAAATTTACTCCCAACAACAACAACAACAACCCAGTTAAATCCCACAAGAGTAGGGTCTGGGGAGGGTGTGTGTACGCAGACCTTGCCCCTACTCGAAAGTAGAGAGGCTGTTTCCAAAGAGACCCCCGGCTCAACGTCGAAAGTTGCATTGCTTGACTAACTGCTACTTCATTAATTAAAGAAGCGCAGATAGTTTAGAGATCCATTTTGATTTATTCCATCACACCCCAAAGCCAAAAAATGGTNCCACAAGAGTAGGGTCTGGGGAGGGTGTGTGTACGCAGACCTTGCCCCTACTCGAAAGTAGAGAGGCTGTTTCCAAAGAGACCCCCGGCTCAACGTCGAAAGTTGCATTGCTTGACTAACTGCTACTTCATTAATTAAAGAAGCGCAGATAGTTTAGAGATCCATTTTGATTTATTCCATCACACCCCAAAGCCAAAAAATGGTGAAATTTTGGCTCCATCGGAGATGATGGAAAAATTTCCTTCCCGCTTTCCTTTTTTGTTCTAAAATTTACTCCCCATTTTCTTTTAAGGAAATGTTTCTATGGTCCACAATCTTTCTCTCACTTCTAAATCAACCACAACTATAAAATTCCACTTTTCTTAAAAATAATTGTGTCAAGTCAAAGTGGGAAGAAAAATATGGGTTAGTACTTAGTAGTAAAATTATTTTTCAATACAAATGCAACAATATGAATTTTATACTCCCTCTGTCCCAAAAGAAATTTCATTACTCCGTATACGATTTCACGGGGTTTAAGGAAAACATTCAAAAGTGAAAAGTGTGGTGTTGAAATTTGTTTAAAAGAGATAAACATTGGGAGCCACACATTCCTTTCCTTAAATGGAAATAAGAAAAGAGTGAACTTTATTCTGGGACTGATGCGAAAGAAAAGTGTGAAGTTTATATGGGGACGGAATGAGTATTTTACTTCATTGTATATTGTAAATCAAAGTTATACACTCAAAAACAAAACAGATAGTTAATATGGAATGGAGGGAGTACTCGATATTAAAAATAATAGACTCTGGACTCCCCAAAAAGTGAGTAAAAGGCATCCTTGTAGCTTGAAAATGCTCTTCAAAATGTTCAAATAGAGTATAAATCCTACGGTGTACGGGGTATTATTTAGTGAGCTTATCACACATCTTAGCTCTATAACCTGTATTGCAACAGATATGATTGATAGAGTAGTGCTAACCTCGGATATTGGTTTCAAATCCACAACTTGTCAAATGTTTTGCAAGTTCCTCCCCCAACTGCTTTTGCCAGTTAGGAACAGCTTTTGCTTCAGATACAGGCCATACAACTGCTGTCTCTGTAGTAAGATTAACACTAGCTGAAGAAACATGTGGCTGTTCATACAAACAAAATATAGTTAACAAAGATGCGGTATGCAGAATGCCATTCCAGGGGCAAAGAATGGAAATAGCAAAAAATAAATTCAACCAATCATCATATGTTCCCCAGAGAATACTCACTTGGCTTTCTAAAATCCTTTTCACCCTTGCGGCGCATCCTCCGCATGTCATTCCCTGCAGACATTTGAATAACTTATTTAATCTGAAGTTTTTGACGATAATGGGTACAATCAACTACGTTTCAGTGGAACTTACAGAGACGTCAAGTATGATGACATCAGAAGATAAAGCAGACGCATCTTCTCCGGCGGCTGCAATCACATTAGGATTCTCCTCGCCCCCCTCCGGCGCGCCTCCACCGCCACCGCCGCCCTCACTTCCACGAAAACCACCGTTTCCTCCATCTCCCGCAGCAAAGGGAGCCGCACTTTCCGCAGAGCTGGAGATACACCGCAGTTCCCATCGAGCGCGATTCAAATCTCCCGACACCAAGCTCCTCCCCGAATAAATCGATCTGAGACGGGCCCGAGCAAGCCGACTCAGAAACACGAATTGGCTCGCCTGGTTCGCAGAGAAACGGAACTGGGAGTGAGAAACTAACGGAAACGAATTGAACTTTAGCGATTTGGAGACTGCTGCAAGAGACATTGTTGATTGTGCTGCGAGCAAGGTTGACTCCATGGCAGCGCGAGTTATGAGCTCAGGAGGGACACAGTGACTCGACACTCGCCAGGCTCTTATCCCCTCTATTTTTTTTTTTTTTTTGGTTAATTTGTATTCCCTAGATATTTGTTTAGTTTTAATTAATTTGGTAAATCATTTTTAAAACTTAACATGTACAAAATATAATTTAATAAAATATATATTATATATTAATAAGGTAAAATAATATTTTGAAAATATTTTATATAATAAATCCAAAAAAATTATTTTATATCAATATTTAATATCACTTCATTTAATTTAAAATTAAAGTTTATCAATTCTGACTAAAAGATAAAAAATAGACAAAGACTCTCAATAGAACATCTTAAAAATGAAAAGTTTTAAACATTTACTCCTATTAAAAAATTATAATGTGCATGTTTACTTTTGAAAGTAGTGAATTAGTGGTCTTATAAACATCTGTATTGCAAATCTCATAAAGAATACGGAGTAGTTTATTTGTGATTCTAGTACGGAGTATTACTGTTTGCTAAATCAAAATACTAGACACAAAAAATAGTTCATAGAATTTACAAATTTGCCTTTTATGAATTTTAAATTAAAATATTTTTTATTATTTGAATTCATTACTCTATTACAATGCAAATCTAATTACAGTACATATTGATGACATGAATGAAATTACTATCTCATATGGATCTCTCGGTTTCTTTCTTTGGAAATAATTGGGATCTCAATAGTGAGAAACATATCTTTATAAAATTCACAGTTAACTCTTTTCATGTCATAACCATCTGGAACTGTGAATTCGCGTTCAAAGTGAGCCCATACATCATCATCCTCGTGCAACTGATCTTCACTCACTACCTTTATAGTTCTCTTTTCTTTGTTTATCGTGACTTTAACATTTTCTTTTTTATAATAAAAATCTGCCAAAAAAATTAAAGAGTATATAGATCACATACTATATGATAGATAGTTACAATTATACAATATTAATATGAACAAATTTCAAAAATATAAATCCATATTAATTTTTAAGTTTAAGAATGCTTTTATTATGCTCCCTTCATTCCAAAATGTTTTATACTATACGCAAAACAAAACAAAATTTTAAGATTTTTAGTTTATTTCTTTTAAGACTAATATGAATTTTAAAATAAAATTTACATATTCAAAAACTACGTAAAAAAATTCTACAAGATAAGAAGTGACAGTGAATATTTTATTTTATTAAATAATCAATTAAAGCGCACATATAAACAAAACCTTCTGTGACTTTTGAATAGTGAAGAATATTACGGAGTAATTCGTTTTGGGAAGAGTAAATGTTTCGTTGTGCCATAAGAACTATCGTAAAAAATTTAAAATTGTAATTAAGAATAATCTTGCGTTGGTTTAAGATTATCATCCTCTTATTTAAATTTGACGAAAATACCAGGACAGAGAAAATGTATTCCGTAATATTTAAATGAAGTACTCGTATAATTTATGGGGAAAAAATTAGAAACTAAAATTGAAGAAATCAAAAATTAAATAATTAACTGGCCTTGGGAGCGGGAAAGGATGAAATGAATGGCATATGCTCCAATTTGAGGCGCCCTCATTATGGTCAGTTCTGAATCAGCTGTGATGTAATACCCACCTCCTTCTCTTGGCCACATTATATATTCTTATTATTTTTTCTATATACAATAATTTTTTTTCTAATTATATGTAATAATTTATTATTATATTTATTATTATTGTTGTTGCTGTTGTACTACTTCTAAATTATAAGGGTATGTGTGTATATATAGTCGGTTTATCATCTCTATAACAAGCTTGTTGGGTCAATTTTGGAATCTTATTATGAAATTAAAATAAAATAGTGGTTGGTGAACAAGAATATATTAATTAATTAAATAATTGTTCGACCTTTTTAAGTTAAACTAGATGAATATTTACCAATAATTAAATAAAATTTATATTAGATATTATTGATGATTAATACTTTTTATCTTGTACAAAAAATAATTTTATTTGATTTACAAAAAATAATTTTATTTGATGATTATTTATTTATGCGATCCATAGTACAAAAAATAATTTTATTTGATTTATCTTGTAAAGGACTATAAAAAATTGATGATTAATACTTTTATCGTTTAACTGCAAATATTCAAGCTGTACGAATACTTTGGACAGGGAATAAATTAAATAAATAATGAATTAAATAAATATCCGTATATATTTTATGTTCTACTCCAAGAATTGGCTTGCATGCATAAATGGTTTTCTGAATTGAGAGGTTATTCCAGTTTTATTCTTCTCCCAAAATAAAGTCTCATGTTTTTTTAATTATTCCAAACTGGCAAGGTTTGACTCTTTTTCAATTGTATTCTATGATTGCTTGTTTGAGAGATGTTTGTAGTCACAAATAAAAAGCCATAAAGTTCATATTCTTGCCCTTTTTGAATTTAATTTCTATTTTTAGAATTATTTGAGACTCCTTTTTTTGTGTCTCGCTTCTTGTTTAATCTAGGATAATTTATCTAAATATTACTAAAATATAATGACTTTCCCAAAATAGTATCATATGTTTTTATTTCTGAATGTAGTATCATTAGTCATTGTCCACTGGTAATTGTTCAAGTAAATGTCTACCGTAAGTCCGTAACTAGACATTGTTTAAAATAAATGTTCAGCATTATTAGACATTGCTCCCATCAGTAGACATTATTCCAGTACTATTTAAGAAATACGTAGTACTCTCTCCGTCCGGAAATATTCTTCCCATTTTCGTTTTTGGTCCGTCTTGAAATATTCTTCCTATTTCCTTTTTTAGTATATTTTTTAAGGCTAAATATCAATAATATCTTTCTATTTTATCACAAATCTACTTTTTTTAGTACTTTTTTAATAATAAAAGGAGATTTAAAAGTTTATAGTATGTGCATTTTTGAAAATTTTGCATTTTTTTACTATTCTTTAATAAGCGTGCCAAGTCAACACGGGAAGAACATTTTCGGACGGAGAGAGTACTATAAAAGTATATATATACACACACACGTGGACTAGCCCGTACTTTACTGGGCTTTTTAATATTGCGTGTTCAATAAATTGCATGCATAATGAAAACAAGCTAAGATAGGACTCCTCAATAAATATTGTAGAATATGATTGGCACTAAACTTTATTTCCACACATGCAACAATTCTTTTATGTTCTGCTTCCATCCCAATATTAAATTTTTGGTCAATTTGATAAAAAAATTTGAAAAAAAAAGTTATTTAATAATAATGTGAATTTAATAAAATTAGATTAATTTTAAAACTTAGTTTTGATATATAACCTTTTAGAGCATTGATGACAACCTTTTTTTACCTTGACCGAAAAAATAAAATTTGTAGTTAAAAGTTATTTCAGGATAAATAATTGACCGAAAAAAATAAATTGAGAGTAAAATTTTGGACGGTGAGAGTATTTTTTTATACAATGGAGTAATGAATATTTATTATTTAATATGGTATTCATCCTTTTTCCCGATGATTCCAAATTAAAGTAAAAATGAAAATGGAGGCATGAAAAATATCCAAAATCCTACAAGAATACGTACTCCAGATTTGAGGCGTGACAAATGGACAACAAAGTTACTTTGGAAATTAGCCAATAATGTAACGCTGACTGGGTGCATATTTTTAGATTGAAAAAAACTTGTCCACAAATCTATTTCGATTCTATTTTAGGCTTTGAATATTATTCTTCACTTTGAAATAATATTTAGACTTTTTCGTTATGTTCCAAACTTGCACAATTATGTTTTCATACCCCCTCTGTCTTTGAAAAAAAATCTGACACTGACTTCACGAAAATTAATATAAAATGTTAAATATTAAAATAAATAGTGCAGTTTAAAATTTAATAGAACGAAAAAACGAATGATACAGTATATAATATCACTCCGGTTCATGTGACATTGCTCGGTAATGTCATAACATGACCCGAGTGCTTATGAATTACGATGATCCGTTTAAAAAATTGATAATTTTTACTCCCCTTAACCCCCTCCCCCCGGAGAACCTTCCTATATTACCCCAACCCAAACTCACCCCTACTCTCTTCAATTGCATTTTCCAAGTTTATTTGACTTTGGAGTCAAAATTTTAACTTGAAAATTAAACAAACTTGGAGAATACAATTGAAATGGGTGGAGTATGGGTTCGGGTCGGATCGAGTGGGGGGTTTGGCGGGATTGTAGGAGAGATAGAAATCGTCAATTTTATAGACTTTGGAGTCAATTTTTGTTTCCATTTAAAAAAAAATATTTATACATTTCTTTTGATAAAAAAAAATAAGAGTAAATTCTATAATTGGTCCTTTATAACAGGGGGGTTTCCCTATTTAGTTCTCTATTATCAAATATTATACCAGTGGTCCTTCTTTTATGGGTACCTTTCCACAAATAGTCCTTTTTTTGATCTTCTATCATGTTGGTGTTAATTTGAGGGCTAAAAGTGTAATTTCACAATGATAATATATCTTTTTTGTCATACACAATTCCAAAGGCTGTTCCGTTTGCATCGTTTGTGAATTACAGTCGCTTTTTACGACAACGATAGTCTCCAAATGTGATCTTTCGTCAGAATCCTAGCCCACAATCATAGTCATTATTTTTGTGTTATCCGCTTAACCAATATCAGAACACGTCACTAGACATAATGTTGATGTCAAATTATACTTTTAGCATTTAAATTAACACCAACATGGCAGAAGATAAAAAAAGGACCATTTGTGGAAAGGTACCCTTAAAAAAAGGTCTACGGGGTAATATTTGATAATAAAGGACTAAATATGGAAACTATCATGTTATAAAGGATCAATTATGGAATTTACTCAAAAAAATAATGTAGTGCGTAAGTTTTTGGATATGATAAAAAAGAACAACGCAAATCATACGTGGATCCATTGGATTTCTCGTGTTTATTTTGGGCCCGGTTTATTTTTCACCCGATCGACAAGAATGCGACGCTGGCCGCTGGGTATCAATAATTATTGTGGAATATAATTGGAAGGTAGGTAAACCATTTTTCCCACATGCAATAATTATTTTTTCGGTGATGTTAAAATTGTAGGGAGAATATTATTTTTGTACTCCATATAAAGATACAATTTGATGAAAAGTAATAAATAATTTCATTAAATAATGATGATCTAAATAGTATAAATAATTAGTAAAAAATATAATTTATAGTAACAATACAATAAGAAAAGTAACTAATAAAATTCTATTTCTCCTAGTATCATCTGTATCTATAAGCTGGTCAAATGTAACGAGGGTTGGAACACAAGTATGAACATAAGAGAGAATTTGGAATTGCAAAGGCCATCTACCACGGAGTTATTTTTGTCGTAGATCTGTCACTGAATAACCAACGTGATTAAAGTATTTTAAAAATTTAGAAATAGCTGGACGCAGATGACGAAAAAAATTTCGGTGAGAATGCCAACTAGTTCTTCTAAAGTTGAAACATGATGAGTAGTCATGGTGCCAGTTGTGACTTCTTCCCGCACGAAATGACAATTAGAACAAACATGTTTCATATTCTTCTGCAAAATTGGTTTTTTCGAATCATAAAAAGTGGATTCATTATCGTGGTAAATACAAGACTTTGAATGAGGTTACTATGAGATCAACAGTAATATAGCAAGGCCACAATAATACACTAAGGGACTGTTTGTTTCAGCCTCTTAATAGTTCAGATGTCTGAATGGTTCAGCACTTAATGGTCCAGACTGTTTGTTTCAGTCTCTTAATGGTTCAGATGTCTGGATGGCTCAAACATTTGCCTCTGAATGGTTAAGTATTATACAGAGTCTGAATGGTTAAGACCTCTTATCTGAATTGATCAGACATTTGCATCTGAATAGTTAAGCAATTTATTAGTTCTTAATGGTTCAGACCTTTTACTAGTTCGGCACTTAATGGTTCAGATCTCTTACTGGACTTATTTATTCAAAAGTTGCCAAACAGCCCGTAAGGTGGTGTTAGGAACAGAGATTTGAATTGAAATTCAAAAATTGAATTCTTTTTCACCAACTTTCAAATTGAATGAAGAAAAAAAATAAAGTAGATAAAGTAGTACATGAAAAAATGATTGATATTTGAGAAATGAACAAACTGCCAAAATCCAGGCCACGTAAATCTCCACTCAAATTAAAGTACATAATTTTTTTTGGATAAAAGTTACACAATTTGATTTCATGCAACTTAAGAGAAATGTTACTCCGTAAAAATAAAAAGAAGAGATTAAAATTTGTTTAGAAAAAAGAAAAATGTATCAACTATTTACGCACTTTATTCGAAAAAAGTATGCAATTATTTTTATGAATTAAAAAAATGAGATTTTTATTTCAAAACAAATAAACTTTCTCTAATCTGTATATTAGTATATACTCCATCCATTCTATATTAACTGTCCATTATGACTTTCTTGGTACATTGAGAAATGAATGAATATAGACATACTTTATGTCTATATTCATTCATTTCTTAATGTACCAAAAAAGTCATAATGGACACTTGATATGGAATGAAGGGAGTAGGTGATTTGGA